GAACTGTTATACATATGTATATATGTATTTGACATATTTTTAAATGAACTGATCTATGTATTATATCTGTCCATATATGTATATATGCATGTCAGTTCATTTTACTATGTAAACAATGGATGTTAGTTTAAATTGGTTTAGCACTTTTAGTTACACATATTAACCTATGTAACTCAGTTATGAGGCATTCTAGGACTCCAGTAGGCTGGTAAGGATATGTAGGGAACTGATGAGGTTTGAGGGTAGGAGAATAAATTCAGCTTTAGGACAGGTCCCCAAGGAGGGTGGCCATCTTGTCATATCATAAAATCCTAGGATGAAGAATGAAATTTGAATACAAGCTGGGAAAGCATCATTTTCATGGGGTCCAGACCAGTGGAAGATGCAGTGCCATGGGATCTGCAATGACAATCCTGGTTGTCATTCCTTGCATACAAGCTGCATAGCTCCAAGAGGCCCATCTGGCATAAATAAGAATTCCAGCCTATGGTGGGGTTCAGCCTTTGGGGAGGGCTCTGATAAGAGCTTGGAAGAAATGGAATCTCAAACAAGCCACTTGGGGTTTCAGGATAGATGTTGGTCTCAATGGACAAACTGGAGAGAAGAGCAGCAAGGTAGGTAGGGCCTTGGTCCTATTGTTATGCAAAATATGGCAGCGGTTCAGGACAAGGCTGAAGCTTTATAAGTAATGGGGGGCCGTCCTGGGCATACTGGGCTTAGGGCAACAAGACAAATTCTAGGCTCACTACCATGGATGAGGGTAAGGATGAGAGTTTCTAATATAGTCTGACAAGTTTGCTTAGAATTGGCTCCAGAACTTTGTCCTGAGTGGAGACTATAAATGAAGACTTTCAATACTTGTGGCTATGTAGAGAAGGAACTGATATATCACAATGTGGTTTAGTTTTATTTGCATCCATTTTATAACCAAGTAATGTATGCATTGCATTTTATCTCCAGTATAATGAAGTTCCTAAAGAATTTGCATTCATAGTCTTTTGTGATTATAATATTCAGTATTAATTAGATCATTATGGGCCTTATATACTTTCAGTAACTTTATTACCATTGTAATGAAAACTCAATAAAGCTGTAATGCTGTTCTACAGACATGTTCTTGAATTGCTTTGTCAAAATCATTGCAAAACCTAATAAAGTAATAACACTATAACAATATGTCTGTAGATTAATAGATGCATTTTGGTTTTCACCAGAATGACCATACAAAAACCTTCAATCAAAATTTACCTTTGCCCTGACCCGTACTACAGTATTTCAATAGATTCCCATAAATATCTGCTTAAACTTTACAATTTCATGCCAATTTATGTTCAACAATTCATATTAATATCAAATCAATCATGTGACTAAAATAATCCCTATTAGCTCTTGAAATTAATTTTATTGTGGCTCGCTCACAGTCTCACAACAAGTACTTCACAGAAGAAACATGTGGAAATAAATAAGAGCAATTTTCCAGATATTTTAAAACATTCTTGATCAAATACACTTTGAGGAAAACCATGGTGAATGTATTATCTGAGATGTACATCTTGCAAAAAGAAAGTCACCATGTATGGTAATGTTCTAAAGTCATTCAGTCATTTCTACAAATGTTAAGGTTCCTCTCTGCAAACAAATAACTGATGTATACCAGAGGCTTTACTGCTTTTCTCATCATTAATTGCATGTCTCATCTATGATTAGAGGTGTGACTATGCCTCCTGATTTTTCAATAAACTAACCACAACCAGAAAAGGCCGTGCAGATGTTTCAGTCTCTGATTGCACTCTCTTATACACAGAGGCTCAGGAATAAACACTGGGCTTGTTTAAATGCTTGACCTAACATAATTCTTTTAATTCTTGGCATACTTGCTGACAGAATTGCACTTTACTCTGAGTAGAATTTTTTTCTGAAAATCCACCTGCCATGTGAAAGCACAGACTTAGATTGCTGGGTCATTCAAAGGGACATGACAACATTAGAAAGCCTTCTCACAGGACCTACATCTGCATCTACTTATGGAATGACTCCCTCTTTATATCTAGCATCTTTCTTATTTCTTAAAAAAAATGAAACAAATATTCAGTAAAGCCCATATATAACCTTTGTATTGAGGAACATTACTAATAACTTCTTCATGGTCTGTCCTCTTTTTTAGTGAATAGTATTTATTTCACAATTGTTTTTCTTCTATTATACTATTTGAAAAGCATTTATCATCTATCAGCATGATACTGGAGATTGAAAATGCAAAGAAGAATGAGATAAGCCCTCTCATCTTCACAGAGGTGGTCTAAGGTCAGGCTGGAGAATGTGGACTTCTCCGTTTGAATCCTGGTTCTACCACTTCCTAGCTGTGTGATCTTGCAGGAGTGACTATAGCACCCTGCACTCAGTTTCTCCAGGTGTGAAATTGTATATTGTTATGTTACCTACTTACAGGACTGTTGGAAGTTACAGGGCTTCATACAGTCCTAGCTTAGCAGTGTATTCACTGCTCAATTTATTAGCTATTAGTATTATGGAGTTTACATTCTCAAAGGGAGGCAGATTATATCATACACACTAAATATAGTACATTATAGCCCAATAATGGAGCTCTGAACAAAATACCATAGGAGCTTTAATGAGAAAGAGAACCATGAATTCATTTATAACAGTTTTATTGAGTTTTCTTTAAAGTGGTAATCATGACTTATAGGGAAGGTGGGGGGTCTCAAAAGAGGTGGTCTCTAAACTGGTCTTGTATATTAAATTTACCAGTGGAAAAAAATGTGGACAGGATATACAGTGAGCTAGAGCATGAGCAGCTAGCATGAGCAAAGTCTCAGCAGTTTGTAAGTCAGGGGGATGTTCAGGATTCAGAAAAGAAGAACAAAGATGCTTCCAGAAGGACAGATCTGGGCTAGTGTGAAACCACCATGGCGGCACTAGAGAGCAATGTAATCAGTCTATGTTTTAAAAAGTAAATCAGCTACTTCGTGGAGGATGAAATGCATGAAAAAGTTTCTGAAAGCTGGCAGCTAGTTATGAAACAATCATGAAGCCTGAACTGGAGCAGTGGCAATGCGAATAGAGAGGTAAGGATAGAACTGAGAGGGACTTGGAGGGAGAACAGAAAGCATTGAGTGACCAAATGAATGATGGGGGCAGAGGAAAGACTCAGGATTGACTTTCTATTCTAGCATAAAATAAGATGAAAAAAAACACAGGAAGAGAGGCGAGTTTGGAGAGAAAGATAATGAATTCAATGCTGTTAAGTTTGGGGTATCTGCAGGAAGAACATCCAAGTTGTCAGTTTAGAATACAATTCTGGAGTTCAGGATAGACCCATCCAGGATGGTGAGGAGAAAGGAAAGAAGAGAAAAAAAGGAGGAAGTGACATCTTAAAAAATGACCCTGGCATATTGGCACAGCCCAGCTGGTTCTATGAAACAGAACCAGAACTGGACAGACATCTCCCCAAAATAATCCCTCTACACCAGCAAAACTGGTTCACTTGCTGTACCTTAATATGCCTTGTGCTTTCACTCTGTACTTTTTCTTTCCTTCATTCGATGTATACTGATTAAGTATCTATTATGTACCAGGTACTGTTCTAGATTTTGGTGACACAAAAGTGAAAAAGTCAAAACACTGCCACTGGGAAGTATATGTTTTAGTGCAGGAGACAGTCAATAAGCAAGTAAACAAATAAATACAAAATATAATTTTAAGTAAATAAAGATAGTAAGAAAAAATTTTAAAATGTTAGAAGGTTAGCAAGTGGGAAGAGAAAGGGGAACTCTGAAATCTGGTTGCTGTCATCAGAGAAGTCATCTCTGATGAAGTAATATAAATGGAGACCTAAAGAGATGGAGAAAACCACGTGACAATCTAGAGCAAGTGTTTCGGGTGGGGGGAAGAGCAAGTACTAAGAACCAGCTTGGTATGACTGAATAACAGCAAGGCAGCCAGCTTGGCTAGAATACAATAGTCACAGGGTATCTTGTGATATTTCTGGTAATATTGTCTTGTACTGTTAACTAATAATGTTGTAAAGATTTTTATGGATTTATATCCTGTCTTTCCAACTCCATGCATGCTTACTGAGAGCATGGTCTATATTCAAACTTCCTACTCCCACAGTACCTTGCACATAGTAGGTATTCTTTCTCCATTCACTTATCTGTAGTTGTAATTAGTGGTGATCTGTTGGCCTCCCTTGCTCCACTCTCAAACACTTCTAGGTTAATTCCAAAGTCTGCTTACCATCTGCAAATCACTGGTGAGCTATTTCTAGTACTGTTGTGATCAGTAAGAAACTCAAGGTATGTCTGGAGCAACAACATAGAAAGCCCGAACACCATGATATACCCTTGCTGTTTACAAACCTGATGGTTTTACTTAGACTCTAATAATGAAGATGGAAATGTAAGGAAATCCTGTACATGCTCCAAGAAGCTGCTGGCTTTGCCACAGTTCTATGCTTGAACATTATGATATTATTATTATCCCACAGGGGTGTCATGAGGACTAATGAGACATTTTCAAGTCACTTTGAGCTACTCCATTGGGGGTACTAAATAAATGCTATGTTTTCCCCCAAAGTGCCATTTTTGACATTGATTTGTTGTGAGAGGTTCTGCTGTGTCCAACAGGGCTGGAATTCTCCCACCAACTCATTTCTTATAAACAATAGACTAGCTGTCAGAAGGCAGTGGCTTTCAGTTAAAATAAATTTGAAGAGAAGTGAACTAGTTGTCAATCAGAAGCAAATAGGCTACTGTTAGAAATCCAGTATTTATTAAGCACTCACAGTGATCAACATAATAATTTCACAGTGTGATATACAGTGAACACTGGATTTGGAAATGGTCCAAGATTTTAGGCCCAGCTCTGCCCTAATTAATTGTGTGAGCTTGAACAAATTTTTTTAACTTCTCTGGGCCTCAAATATAAAGTAAGGGCTGTCCTGGGAAGCTCACAATCAGTCTTCCAGACCAAGCAAATACATGAAAGGAAAGGAAATAGTCATTTCTGAAAGAGAGATACTTCATAGCAGGAAGAAGCTTGTGACCATCCATCACAGGACAATCCTCTGTTCTGGTCTTCCTTGCCACTGATTAATATTAATCTCAGTACTAATTCATGCAAATGGAGAAATAAATCACTTTCTAGCTCAGACATAGAAGTATGTGAAACATTTGGTCTTTAAAAATAGGGTCTTTGCCTTTCCACACGCCATCCTTGAAGCAAGTTCTTTTCTTTAGATTTAAACATGCAAATGATTGATAATATTGCTACCCTAATCACCAGCCCAAAAACAGTATTCTAGTTTTGTGATAGAGAGTGTTTTATATCATTTTGCACTTTTATCATCTTACAACATATGTTACTGCTTGCAGTGCCCAGCACTGACCTGGAGGTGAAGTGCAAGATAAAAGGACATTAAAGAACATGGGTGCTTGTTGTACCTAAAAGAGGCAAAGTGGAAACCCTGTGGAGTAACAGTAACATAGTGTTCCGTGAGTTCAGTTTCCCCTACTCCTCATCTCAGGAATCCAGTGGTTCTGGACACAGAAAGAAGAAATATTGACACTAGAGCCGACAATTGCAAAGAATCACTTTTTGGGGAATTCAATTCAATAAACACATCTTGAGTTCCTACCATTTATCAGGCACTTTGGTAGTTGCCAGGAACATAAAGTGAATAATGCCCTCATGGTTGGGAGTGGTGGTGGGAAGCAATGCCCACAAATTCTTACTTTAAGGGAAATTATCAGCAAAGGTATGATGGGTGAGGGACTTGTCTAGACAACAGTTCCTCTTTCGCAAACGATGTGAAAATAATACAATAGAAAATACATTTTTAAAACTCTTAATTGGAGTTCCTAAGATGTCTGGAAATGGAAATTGTGTTCAAAGCGGCACAACAATTTGGAGAAACAGTGTAAATTAAAGGGGATAAATGTAATTTATTACCTCCAGGCCAAAATCAGGCAACAGGAGATAGAAGTTGTAGAATGAATGTTCTCCCAGTTTAACTAAGCGTGGCAAATTTCCTACGATGGGGCCAGCAGTGAAACATTAAGTAGAGGGTCTAGGTAGGTCTTGCTCCATTCCTTGGACAGGCTTGAGACATGAATTTTCCATTTCCTCTTATTTTCTCACCCACCAGGAAATCTCACTGTACTGAAAAGACCAGGCTGCCCTCCCCAATCCCAACCAGAAACTTGGTCCGATTCTTCCCAACGGCTGAAATCTCAGCTACAAAAGTTAGTGTGAACCACTCGGTACAGAAGCCAAGTCCTTGAATGCTTTTGTTGACCCATTTTTCTTTAGACTCCTGGTGCGAACTCATCAGCACCCGTTACTCTGTTCAGCTTCTCATCCAAACAGCAGCTCTGTTATTTTGAGCCCTCCCTGCCTAGCGGTCTTCTGCCCTCAGGTGGACTCAGGACACTCGCAGCAGTCTTGCCTTTTCACCAGGGCGCCCACCTGGCACGCCACGCCCTCCCTCGACAACGCTCCAGGCCCACAACACATTCCCAACCCTCCTCCTCGCCTGCCTCCGCCCGCTGCCGCCTCGCTCCACGAAGTCCGCCTCCCCACCGCGGGCCCAGGTGGGGTGTGTGGGGCGAGGAAACCTGGCGCTCTCGGGGCCGCGCTGCGGCCCAAGAGGGGTGGAGAAGCCCCGCGCCTGGGATGCGGCCTCGCAGGCCGGGGCAGGGGGCGATGACCAGAAGCCCACCGAGCCCCGGGGCCTGGGCCCTCCGGCCAGACCTTCCGAGGGCCGCCTCGGCTGGGCCGCGGTTCTGGGGGACGCCGAAGTGCCACACGAGCGTGCTTCCGTGACCCAGAGGGGCTCGGAGGGCTCGGTGAGGGGCCCGGCAGGGCGACTCCCCGGGGAAGCGGGGCGCGCCCCCGCGCGGTGGGCGGGAACCCTGAGGGGACGAACAGCGGGCGCGCGCCCCATGGGGGCGGAGGGGAGCGGAGGAGGGTTGGGGAGGCGTCTCTGCGGAGCCCAGCGCTCCGCGCCACACCCAGACGGAGCCTCTCGGCGGCTGCGGCAGCCGCCACAGCAACAGGCGGCGGAGGGACGAAGGGGCGGGGAGCGGCAACGGGGCGGGGAGCGCGAGGAGGGGCGACGCGGCCCCGCACCGCCGCCTCTACCCCGCCGCATGGACGAGCACCTCAGCCTCCTGCGCTCGCCGCCGCCGCCGCTGCCCTCCGCCCGCCACCGCGCCCACCCTCCCCAGCACCCCGAGAGCGGCGGCGGCGCCCACACACTGGTGAACCCGGGCTACGCAGAGCCCGCCGCGGGCCCCGCGCTGCCGCCCGACATGACGGTGGTGCCCGGGGACCACCTGCTGGAGCCCGAGGCGGCCGACGGCGGCGGGGAACCGCCTCAGGGCGGCTGTGGCGGCGGCGGCGGCGGCGGCGGCGGCGGTGGCGGCTGCGACCGCTACGAACCGCTGCCACCCGCGCTGCCGGCCGCCAGCGAGCAGGACTGCTGCGGGGAGCGCGTGGTGATCAACATCTCAGGGTTGCGCTTCGAGACGCAGCTCAAGACCCTCTGCCAGTTCCCGGAGACACTGCTGGGCGACCCGAAGCGGCGCATGAGGTACTTCGACCCGCTCCGCAACGAGTACTTCTTCGACCGTAACCGGCCCAGCTTCGACGCCATCCTCTACTACTATCAGTCCGGGGGCCGCATCCGCCGGCCGGTCAATGTGCCCATTGACATCTTCTCCGAGGAGATCCGCTTCTACCAGCTGGGCGAGGAGGCCATGGAGAAGTTCCGCGAGGACGAGGGCTTCCTGCGGGAGGAGGAACGGCCCCTGCCCCGCCGGGACTTCCAGCGCCAAGTGTGGCTGCTCTTCGAGTACCCGGAGAGCTCCGGGCCGGCCCGGGGCATCGCCATCGTGTCCGTGCTCGTCATCCTCATCTCCATTGTCATATTCTGTCTGGAGACGCTGCCCGAGTTCCGTGACGAGAAGGGCTACCCCTCCTCGCCGTTTCAAGAGCTGTTGGATGCGCCCAGCAACAGTACGTCGGGGGCCCCCGCCGGCGCCTCCAGCTTCTCGGATCCCTTCTTCGTGGTGGAAACCCTTTGCATCATCTGGTTCTCCTTTGAGCTGCTGGTGCGGTTCTTCGCGTGCCCCAGCAAAGCCACCTTCTCGAGAAACATCATGAACCTGATAGACATCGTGGCCATCATCCCTTATTTTATCACGCTGGGCACGGAGCTGGCTGAGAGGCAGGGCAATGGACAGCAAGCCATGTCCCTGGCCATCCTGAGGGTCATCCGCCTGGTGAGGGTCTTCCGCATCTTCAAGCTCTCCAGGCACTCCAAGGGGCTGCAGATCCTGGGGCAAACGCTGAAGGCTTCCATGAGGGAGTTGGGGTTGCTTATCTTTTTCCTGTTTATTGGGGTCATCCTTTTCTCCAGCGCAGTCTACTTTGCCGAGGCAGATGACCCCACTTCAGGTTTTAGCAGTATCCCGGATGCCTTCTGGTGGGCAGTGGTAACCATGACAACAGTAGGTTATGGTGACATGCACCCAGTGACCATAGGGGGCAAGATTGTGGGGTCTCTCTGTGCCATCGCTGGTGTCCTGACCATTGCTTTGCCTGTCCCTGTGATTGTTTCCAACTTCAATTACTTCTACCACCGGGAGACAGAAGGGGAAGAGCAAGCCCAGTACATGCATGTGGGAAGTTGCCAGCACCTGACCTCATCGGCTGAGGACCTCCGAAAAGCACGGAGTAATTCCACTCTGAGTAAGTCGGAGTATATGGTGATTGAAGAGGGGGGTATGAACCATAGCGCTTTCCCCCAGACTCCCTTCAAAACGGGCAATTCCACTGCCACCTGCACCACGAACAATAATCCCAATTCCTGTGTCAACATCAAAAAGATATTTACCGATGTTTAATATATGATACAAGTGACATGCTGTGCTCAGTATTGTGTGGAACGTACCCTCTTGGTCTGTGTATGCCCTTATTTTATACATCTCCAGACCATTCATCCAGGAAAGGACATAAAGAAGTGGAAAGCACACTTCATTCTCTGTCTCCCCTCTGCTTCATACTGAAACAGGTGTCTGTTTTGCAAGTGGGCTGCATTCTCTCAGCTCTCCTTTTTTTTCTTCCTCCCTCTCTTAATACTGCCAACAAGAAACTTACCTTTCAACTTGGTTTCTAGTAAAAGCCCTGTTTAAAAAAAAAAAAATCGGTACATCCTGGGAGGAAATGAAACTGAAGAACAGTTAGAGTAACTGTTTAACCTCAGAATTGAAAGGCAATTTTTTTCTTTACTAAGTAAAGCAGGCACATACTTGAATGATGCTTCCGTTTGATGGACCCTTCAACATTATTGACTGTTTAGTTCAGTTGCCTATGCTGTGGATGTGTGGATGAAAAGTCTACTTAGAACAATGACTTGTTTATTTGTTTTTGACTGGAATTTCTGTTCAGAACCCCCTCCCCCCGGAATTTTAAGGATCGGTACAACTTTGACCAAAAAGGAAACGCACAAGATGTCCTGATCTGACTACTTAGTTTAACTCTTTGGGGCTTGTTAAGCATTTCAAAAGTATTAGACTAATATTTTCCTGTGAAGTTCTGTGTGTGTGTGTTCCAGCCAACATCTATCAAAGTCTAGAAACAGATGTTTTCAGTGCTGCTGAGAGAAACAAAAAAAAAATCCTAATGCATCTGAGAGATAAGCTTCTGCAGTATCACAAGATGATTAAAGTGGCAGACACTCCTTCCAGCGGAAGTTACTAATTCGGACCTGACTGATGCAGTTCCCATAGCAACCCATGTTTCCTGGGAAACCCGAAAAAGGTTGTCATGGTATCTCTTGCTCTCTAGCCCCACCCCCTAGCCCCTGCAGTTTCCACAGTAACCTTTCCAGATGGTTCCTACTTACATGATTTCATAAGGAAATCCTCTGTTTGAATAAACCGCACAAATAAAGTTAAGTCTGAGAATCTGAGATGGTGAAATGGATCACAAAATGCATATTTTTTACTACAGAAAAAATGTTGCTATCATCCCACAATGACTGGATCAAGAAGGAAGATAACATATTTGGAATGTTAGATATACACCACAATAAAGTATGATTTGAATTAAATGCCAGTAATTAGGCAACAGTTTTAAAAGATGCTTCTCTACTGTTTTCTTTCTCCAAGAAGTTTTAAGCCAACAAATGAAATTTAAAAGCAAATATGGAAGTGTTGTGTACATAAGCAAATGAAAGATTCAGTGTACCTGAAACCTTACTACAAGAGACCTTCAGATTTCCTCTTAAAAAAAAATCCAGATCCCACAACAGCACCTTTAACCATCATAGCACTTGAAAAGCTAAATAAACTTAAAAAATATAAGGATGCACGTTTTTAACTGAGGGAATTGCAGACAATCAATAAAAAGGAGGGACAGGAAATAACCAATCTTGGAGAAATACCTGCAGTTATCAGCCATAAGCCAGGGGTTGCCCGAAGACAAACAGAATCAGGTGAGCACTATGTGGGCTACTGAGAGCATTCCCTTTTTGAACAGAGAGCCGGGAAAAAGCTATTCCTATGTAGATTGGTGACAAGTTGCAAAAACAATAATATTACATTAATTACATGCAAGTGACTTTTAAAGGTCATTTATAACACTCTTTCCGTTTGATTTCCATGTTTCTAACTGTCCTTTGGTTTCTTTGTTTACTACAAAAGATTTAAAAAGTTATTGCTCTTCAGAATAACCTTCACCCAATATGAACTGAAAAGGGTTCCATTCTTTTTACTAACCGACTTGGCACTAAACAACCTGTTTCCCCTTTTAAAAAGAATAAAAGGCAGACCTTCTGTTAGATAATTGGTCCAATTTTAATTTACCCAATTATTTAGCTTGTAGTAGTAGAGTTTTTTGAACCAAAAAATGGTTAAGATTACACTATGGTGTAACGTTTTATGTTAACAATCATTTTATTTCATATACATTATAACTATAATGTATACAAATACATATACAAATAAACTATGCATTATACATTTTCCACAGTTATACATTATCCACAGTCACAGTTTGGTTTTGATAGGGTATAACTGTTCTATCCTAGAGTAGGTTAGAGTAACTCTATTTTTAAAGCTTATAAAATATTCTCAGGTAGAAGCCTACTCACTGTATATTTGTGCATTTGAGACAGTGGAAAACAGTGATTAAGACTGTAAGAGGGGAAGAGGAAGGAAAAAGATTTAAAAAATAGAGGCAAGAAGTCTATAAACCTGGTCATAGGGCCATTGTTTTTATCTTTACGTGCATTGAAATAGGGCTCCTTTATTGAGTTTCCTTTGCTACTTGAGTTACTTTTAACATTAAGCTACCTTTTGACCAAATTCTTAGTATTCTTAATGACCAGAAATTATTTATATGACCCATTTGGGTAGTAATATGTTAGACACACTATAATAATTACATAATTTTTGTATCTCTTCTTAAAAGATCTTAACATAAGGATGAACAAAGTGCTGTGACAATTTTATTCTCATATATTCAGGTAGAGAAACCCTGCTTAGTTCTATAGGTAAATTATGGTTATGCCATAATTTTTGGAATTGTGTAGTTATTAAATAAAAATAATATAAAGGAGATTTTTTTTTTAGCCCAAAGAAATATAACTTTTGAGTCATGACTTTGAGGTAGTATAATTGCTTCTGGTTGCCATATTGTAAGCTCCTTAAAGGTTATAGGTTCTGTGCCTTGACAAAGTTTTGGATACTAGTGCATAGCACCTTGCATGTATTCAATACATATTTGATGAGTGAATGGCCATTATCTTACATTAATGTTATTTTCAGGCTTTTAATGGAGTGGTTTAAAGCATAAGTTCTGCAGTCATATTGCCAAAGCTTGAATTTCTGACTCTGCTATATTACATTGCGCTAATTGCTTAATTTCTCTGTGCCTCAGTTTCCCTATTTGTAAAATGAAGGTAATAAATAAAGCTCATAGGGTTCTTGTGAATATTAAATGTTAATACAGGTATAACACTTAGAAAAAATATTTCCTTGATATGCAGCAGAGACGTTTTAAGAGATTACATTATTGTGGTCTTTACAGGCATTGTATTGTTAATACAATTAATAATGAGAGCTTTGTGAATGACTTGAAGTACCTAAATAATTAGGGTCTTCCTAATCACTTTCTCTATGACAATAATAATTACCACTTATTAAGGGCCAACCATGTCCTAGACACTTCTCAACTATAAGGTAAGTAAGTGGTATTAACCCCATCTTAGAAGAGTGAAAAATAAATGTTTAAGTTAAGTAATTTCCCTAAGACTTTACAGCAAGCAAGATACCCAGCTATGATTAAAAGCCAAGTCATTCTGTCTCCCAGACCCATGTTCCTTTTATTGGATGACTTGAAAGAAATTGAGGAAATATATATGTTATGCTTTTTAGGTTTGACTTTAGCCTGTATTACTAATTACTGAATTCCTGTAAGGCACATATCTCCAGAAACCAATTTCATTCAGTTTATTGAAAATTAACCCTTTTCTAATCATCAGATATTTTTTAACCATAAGGATCAAATATAAGGGATTTAAATCAGATGAAGAGATTGACTTTTCTAGTAAGAAAGGTTATTTTCTTATATGATTGATTTATCTGGATTTAATTTTAGACTCAGAAAGTATAATCAGTCATAGTAGTGATATCTGCTTGAACAACATATGTTTTTCAGTTTTAAAGTTAATTTCTTATTTTCATGTGTTTTAATCTACAATAGATGATAGTAGGGAAATTGCTGCTTTTCCATCTCTTTACAGTTAGCTTAGGTTACTGAAGAACCATGCTGGAAAGTAGTGTAAACATTTTGACTCTCCCTTATTAAGATGGGAGAAATTACTAAGAACAAAAGGATTGAAGCAGGAGATTGCCAGCTCACTGAAATTTGTAACATTATTGCCTTACCCAAACACTCCCTGGATCTCTGAGGGCATCAGTGCTCAAAAAAACATTAGAATATGATATTGTTCCACATAATGCCTGTAGCCCCTTCTCTAAGGTTCTAAATAATTTGGAAAATGAAAATGAGTAGTGATTTGGGCATACATCAGAGTTTAATCTAAGCTATCACATGCCAGTTAGCTTTGCCAAACCACAGACCTCACTGTTGAGCTCAATTGCATGTCTGGGATGTTGAAAGGTATACATACATCTTGTATAGAAAAGATTTATGGGAGGCGGTGTCTGGATTAGTACACATCCATCAACACCCTGAGGAAAATGTATATACCCTACAGCTGGTGAATCAAGAGGTAAAAATAATAACATAATTTCTTAATGGTGCTTTAAGCCTGATAGTATACCAAATTTAAATAACACCGACTGTGGTGACATAACCACAAATTTCTAAACTTAGAAATAAAATTTTAGGATTGAAATTTTAATGCACAGCATGAAGAAATTTAAAGTTATTGTTTGTTTACATACATATATATATAAAGCATGTAACATACTCAAATAATGGCTTTACTGAAGAAATATAAATTCAAAATGTATAATAGTCTATTCCTTTGAGAACCATAATTGACTGACTTCTATACATTTAAAATTTCAACGTTTTCCACAGCAGTTCCAGGTCTCCTCACCTTCTCACTAGTGAATAGAAGTGATAACCCCTCCCACTAAGAAATGCAAAATGCCCAGGTGCCCCCCCACCCCAGTCTGAAGTTAATAGAAACACTGTGAGGTACAGGTGAGGAGCATAAAATGGAGAAGAGGATACTTAGGGGATTGCATTTTAAGATGGGGTTTTTTCTTTCTGTTTTGTGTTTGGCCTTTTAAACTAAGGAAGATAAAACTACTGCTTCTATACTACTAATTTCCTATATTTTGTTTTGCAATTTGTACATATATATATATATATATATCAGTGAAATCACTTGTTTCTTATAACCTGCAGGAAGTGGTTGATAACCTTTGAGAGAGAACAAATCAGAGGAGGCAGGAAAAACGGAGGGAAAGCCATGCAGAGCCCAAACTGTAACTATTGAGACTCAGCTCCTAACCTCCTGACAGAAAATGGCCATTGCTATAGAGTATATGATGACAGTATTCTTTATATGCTCGTGTTCACCTTGCAAATGTAATTTAAATGATTCACACAGGTTAGGAAATTTCCAAATATTTATCCTTGTTTTCAGTGATGCTCTGAAGTAATTTTATCTTTTGAAATTATAAAGAAAAAACATTTTACAAAGAAATATTTTCATGGTTTTTCTCTTTTTCTTGTTTTGTACTGGATGTATTTTTCCTTACATTTCAAATTTGGTACCATTAACCATCAAATGCATTAAAGAGGAGCTATAGAAAAGAGTCCTCACCATTTTCTTGGCAGCCATTTTATTATTGTTGCAACCTAAATAGTACAGAATAGGAACTCTGGCCTGAAAAATAAGCCTGGGATTCTGTTTGTTAGTAAGAAAGCACTTATGAACAAAAAATGCTGCTTCATCTTATTTGAAGAATGTTATGAATAAATCTGTGCATGCAGGATTCCGACTGTATATACAGGGATCATACCTGACGTGAGGTGGTGAAGAGTGAAGAGAACCATTTCTCTTCCAGTGAGCCCCCAACCTCACCCTTACTTCTCCCATGAGAGCACAGAGGCTTTTGGCAATTTCATGAGGTTCCCCAACTTTTTAGGATGAAAGTTAGCATGTACATAGGTGTTATAAGTCAATTGACATTGCTATTTCACTTATTTTTTATTGTTTCTTTTAAACTCCTTTCCTTCATGAGAATTCTCTCTGAATCCTAATGTTCTTATTTTTATATATTTAAACATGTCTCTTACATTAAAACATGATTTAAATTGGAATAAAAATCAGTAGGGGTAATTTATTACACACACACACACTTTTCACCTTCTCATAAATTATTCCCTATATAAGACATATTTACTTTCTGTCTGTAGTTCTAAACAGTCTAATTCTTTTTCTGAAAATTAGTGAACTTCCAGAATATTGATATTCAGTCTATGTGCAGCATAAACATTTACACTTCTTATTAAATGTGAAGCCTTGCTTAAAAGGCAGATTTATTGCCTAGTGTTCTCAATGTATTTACCAATGTAATAATAGAAGCATTAAAGTAGTAAATACATAGAGTCTATCACTGAGTTTTGTCATTTCACCTCCTAAATATCTCTGAAAAGAATCCCCTTTCCTACACTGCTGTCACCACCACTTTAACTCACATTACTATCATATCTGTCCTGGGTAAGTGCGAAGGTCTCTTAGCTGCCCTTCCCACATTTCCTGTGGCTAATCTGACCCATTCTTCACCTAGTAGCCAGAACCATCTTTTTGAGAGATCAT